TTTTTTTTTTTTGGTCGGTCGTGGGGCTTGAACTCTGGGCTTGGGCGCTGACCCTCAGCTCTTAAGCTCAAGGCGAGCACTCTACTGCTTGAGCCACAGTACCACTTCATTTTCTAGTGGTTTATTGGCGATAAGAGTCTCCCAGACTTTCCTGCCTCGGCTGGCTTTGAACTGCAATCTTCAGATCTCAGCCTCCTGAGTAGCTAGGATTACAGACATGAGCTACTGGCGCCTGACTTTCTGTGAGACTCTAGTCACCAAAAAGCCAGAAGTAGAGGTATGGCTCAAGTGGTAGAGCTCTACCCTTGAGCACAAAAGCTGAGGGTCGGTGCCCGGGCCTTGAATTCAAACCCCAAGGCCAGCACTCCATACACACACACACACACACACGCACACGCGTATTACAGTTTTGTCTCAAAGCCTGTACTCATTGGCAGCCTTTCTACACTTGAGCCGTGCCCCAAGCCCTTTTCCCTCTCATTACTTTTCTTTTTTTAATTTTTTTTTTTTGGGTCTGGTCGTGGGGTCTGAACTCTGGGACCGGGCGCTGTCTCTTAGCTCTTCAGCTCAAGGCTAGCACTCTACCACTTGAGCCATAGCACCACTTCTGGCTTTTTTTTTTCTGCTTATGTGGTGCTGAGGAATCGAACCCAGGGCCTCATGCATACAAGGCAAGCGCTCTACCACTGAGCCACCTTCTCAGTCCTCCTTTCATTACTTTTCAAAGAGGTTTTTGAGTTTTGCCTGGCCAGTTTGGACTGCAGTCCTCCTGTTTAGACTTCCTAGGTAGCTGGGATGGCAGGCGAGTGTCCACTTGCCTAGCTTTTTATTGGTTGGAGTGGGATCTTGAGAACATTTTGCCTGGACTCCCTCCAGTCCTCATCTTCTTTGTCTCAGTTGTTCAAGTAGCTATGATTACAGGTATGAGCCACCACACCCAGCACATCTTAACTATTTTTAAGTGTATACTTTAGTGGTAATGAATACATTCATAATGTTGCACAACCAGCATCATCATCCATCTCTAGAACTCAATTCATTTTGCACCACTGAAACCTACTATAACCATTAAATAATTTCACTCATTGTCTCTGGCATTTTATTTGTGTAGTTTTCCTCACAGTTAAAAATATCACAAAGCAAATACATGTTTTTAGTGACAGCTGCCACTGTACCTTGAGAGAACATTCCACAAGCTGCCAGTACATGTTATGTATGCTCCCGCTCCCTTTATCCATTTAATTGCCGCCTCCCTTCCTCCCTCACTGTGAATTCACAGCAGCTGAGCGCTCACCACAGCCTGGGTTGAATGTGGTGACATAAAATGCATTTGCTCCCCACTGCTTTGTTAACACTACCACTTTTTTGTTTCATTTATGTATTTATTTACTGGAGTTTGAACTTGGAATCACACTTGCTAGACATGGTCTCTACTGGTGAGGCACACCTCTAGCCATTTGTGGGTTTGTGTGCACATGTGTGTGTACATATACATGTGTGCTTAAGTGTCAGAGGCTTTTTACTCACGCTGGCACTCTGCCACTTGAGACACACTTCCAGTTTGGCAATTTGCTCTTAATTGGACATAGAATCTGGACGACTTTTCTGCCCAGGCTGGCTGTGAATCTTGATCTCAGCCTCCTTTAGCTAGGATTAAAGACATGAGCCCCCAGTATCTGTTAGACGTTACACTTTTCTGCTCATGCTGTTCTAGAACTTGGATCTGCACAATCTCAGCCTCCTACACAGCTAGAATTCCAGGTATTGGTTAGGCTGTGTTCCTTTTGAAAGCTAAAGGAGAATCTAGAGAAACCCATCCCCAGTATTCTAACGGCTTTTTGGAGCCATCAATATTCCTTGTCTTAGACCCTCCCACTCCCATCTTTAAAATAAGCAGCTCAGTGATTTTTCTCCTCTGCCTTGTGCCTAAGCCTTCAACCCCTCATGTTCTCCACCATTTCCCTTCTGCCTGCCTTCTCTAAGGATCTATGGCTACTCTGGGCTCACCTGGATTATTGAAACACACTTATTCACAGCTGCAGAATCTCTTCTACTATGCCAGATGACACCTCCACAGACTCTGAGGGTAAAGAGGTGGCTATCTTAGGGGTTGTTATTCAGCCAGCTACAAAGGCAAGCTGATACAGCATGCCATAAGGACTAGAACTTGAGTCTAAGGCACAGACCCAAAATGCATGGGCTTAGACTTTGAAAATGGGGCAGGAGGGGCTGGGAAGGTGGCTCAGAGGTAGAGTGCATGCCTTGCAAGCATGAGGCCCTGGGTTCGATTCCTCAGCACCACATAAACAGACAAAGCCAGCAAAACAAAACAAAAAAAGAAAATGGGGCAGGAAACCTTAGCTGGCCACTGCTCACAGTTCCCTTACTCAGGGACAGTTTTTAGGTGTCAAAGGAAACAGAATGACCCTGACACTCGCTCTTACATTACCAGATCCTGACTTTGGGAGGACTCCATGCCACCTAGATCTCTTTTGTTCAGAGCACCTTGAGGACCACACAGGGAAGGGGGTAGTGAGAGCCAAAATTAAGAGTTTTACTTTTTACCTTTTACTTTCTTCAGAAACAGAGAGATTATACCCTTGAAGGAGAGTCGGGGAAGGTATCTAATCTCCAATACCTGCACAGGTAAGGATTATTTTACATTTTAAAACTAAAAGATGTGTCATTGGAGCAAAAGAGTATGTTTATGTATACTAATACATACAAGTGCATTTCATTATATAAAAACATTGCAGCATATTTAAATAAATGGTTTAAGATTTTCACATAGCTTTAAAGCTGGATCATACTCCTTGCGATCTCTTCTTTGGCTTACGCCTGTCCTCTTCTAGAGCTAACCACTCTCTCTTCCCTCTGCCAAGTTCTGGAAGTTACTTTCCTCCAAGTTCTGAATGTTTTGACTTTCTCCATGGTCCCTTTCTCATTTCATTTCTTTTTTTTTTTTTTTTTTTTTTTGGTCGGTCGTGGGGCTTGAACTCTGGGCCTGGGCACTGTCCCTCAGCTCTTCAGCTCAAGGCGAGCACTCTACCACTTGAGCTACAGCGCCACTTCCGGTTTTCTGGTGGTTTATTGGAGATAGGAGTCTCACGGTCTCTCCTGCCTGGGCTGGCTTTGAACGTTGATCCTCAGATCTCAGCCTCCTGAGTAGCTAGGATTACAGGCATGAGCCACCAGCGCCCAGCTTCCCATTTCATTTCAATTCAGGTTTCATTCCATCCACAGTGTTTTTTTTTTGTTGTTGTTGTTTTGCTTTGTTTTTGTCGGTTGTAGGGCTTGAACTCTGGGCCTGGGTGCTGTCCCTGAGTTCTTCAGCTCAAGGCAAAGTGCTCTACCACTTAGCCACAGCGCCGCCACTTCCGGTTTTCTGGTGGTTTTTATTAGAGATAAATCTCACGGACTTTGCTGCCCAGGCTAGCTTTGAACCACTGGCGCCCAGCTTTGTATTGTCTAGAGAGTCGGGCACTGGTGGCTCACACCTATAATCCTACTACTCAGAAGTCTGAGATCCGAGGATCTCGGTTCAAAGCCAGTCCCAGGCAGGAAAGTCTGGAAGACTCTTATCTCCAGTTAACCACCAGAAAACTGGAAGTGGTGCTGTGGCTCAAGCAGTAGAGCGCTTGCCTTGAGTTGAAGAGCTCAGGAATAGCACCTAAGCCTAGAGTTCAAGCCCCATGACTGACAAAAAAACAACATAATGTCTAGTGAGTACCACTGCTGTATTTGTTATCTTTTTAATGGCACTAATCCGTACCCTCCTTGTCCGTACTTTAAGGTCCATTCTTTTCTTTTTTTTTTAATTTTAATTTTTATTTTTTGTGAACATACTGTACAGAAGGGTTACAATTACATGGGCAAGATAATGAGTAAGGTCCATTCTTTTCTGTCCAGTTTGCTATGTTTATTGCATTGTTTCTACTCTGCTTTTTGCTATTGGGGCTTACTGTAAACCTGGCTAAAAGCAGCTAAAACCATGAATTATCTGTGCTGTCTTGGAATTTCCTCTGCCAAATGATTTTTTTGTCACTTTTAAATTCAGCTTCCCAGAAAGTGTCAGGACATGGACAAAGTTCTCTCCTAAATGTAACACAAAATGTCCTCCTGTCCGGTAGAGTCCCTGGTCCATCTGAAACCTCCTGAGCACAGTCTTTAGTCCCTACGTTTCTGTCTGCATTCTGGTCTTCAGAACTCTCAGCAGAATCACTGGTCTGCTGCTCACAGCCGTGTCCAGGGCTTCTCCAGCACGTTTGACACTTTCAGACACCTCCACAACCACCTGCCAAGACCTAAGAACCACAGGCCAGCTGATTCACATGGACCTCCGCTCTCCTGCCAGTTTTCTAATGACTTACTTTTGCATTGCTATAAAAAAAAAAATACCTCACATGGTAACTTAGAGAGAAGAGTGATTTCTTTTGGTCCATTGTTTGTTGGGGGGGGCGCGTGGCATGGGACGGATAGGGCAGAACAGTTCACTAGCCAGGAAGGGCCCAGGGCAAGATAGTGCCTCAAAGCTTCACCAGCAGTGACCAACTGCCTTCAGCTAGGCCCTGCTGCCTGCTTTCACTACCTCCCAAAGCTGTCCTCATACTATTAATTCATCAAGGGATCAGCCTGTTCATTAGGTCAGAGCCCTGTGATCAGTCATCTCAAACATACCCAGTGGTGTGCTTTACTAATCCTCGGGTGTTTCTCAATTGAATCAAGCCCAAATCAAGCATCACAACACACCAGGCATGGAACTGGGCCTCCTTCCAGAAACTGGCTTCAACCCACGGTGTGATCCTAGGGAGTAAATCTAGAAACTTGTGCATGGTGGGCACTCGCTCTCCTGCCAGGCCGTGCCTCCCTCCCACCCCTGGGCCACTTGAAGAACAAGCCACATCTCATAGGTATTCATTCATTTCTTACCAGATAAATGATCTTCAAATATTAATGACAGTAACAAAAAAGAACAGGCACTATCCTTTCAAATTAGGAGCTCTATGGCTCCTGAGAAAAGAAAGATAAATATGATATTATTCATGCTGAAATCGGCATTTATGGAAGATCTCATTCTGGTTCCCTCCAAATTTGCTACTGAACATTCAGCTGCCAGATTCCAGGCCCTGTGAGCCGGAGGCCCAGGCCAGACAGCCCTGCTATGTGATGCACATTTCCCTTAAGTCAGTCCCCACTCGTAGTGCAGCACTCTTCCCTGAGCTGACAGGTCGTCTGTTCCAGCTACCTGACCTACATCAAGCTGTCGACAGCGATCAAGCGTAATGAGAATATGGCTAAAGGTCTGCAGAAGGCGCTGCTGCAGCAGCCGCCGGAAGATGACAACAAACGCTCCCCCCGGCCGCAGGACTTGATCCGGCTGTACGACATTATTCTGCAGGTAACTGTTGGAGGAGTCTGAGAAGGCAAGTCCTGCATTTGTGTTGGACATGAGATGATTTGCCTCTGCATAGGCAATTGGCGAAGAAGCTGGGGAATTCTGAGGTCTTCTTACAAGGACAGATAAAAACAGTTCTGGCAAGAACTAATCTGAGGCCTTCTCCTCATGGATTTTCTTGTTGCATTTGTTTTACAGAATCTGGTGGAATTGCTGCAGCTCCCTGGCTTGGAAGAGGATAGAACTTTCCAGAAAGAAATAGGTCTCAAGACCCTGGTATTCAAAGCTTACAGGTGATAGCCTTCAGGCTGGGCATCCCAGCAATTCTGTAAAGTTAGAATATGTCCCAGCCCAGGGAAGATGGCGTTGTAGGCATTTGTGTGCTCAGTATGCCCAGCCCAGCTTGTTCACAGGAAATTGCAGCCAGTAGTCTCTAGTGTGCCTTGTTTGTTCTTTGCGTAGGTTTAGGGATTAAGCTTGGCGCCCTTTTCTTCTAAACTGCCTCCCCAGGAAAGAGACTAGCGTTGGATAGAGTACCAGTTAGCAAGCCAGAACAGCCAGGTCAGGGAGCCTACACTGAGTTGGGATAAAGTTAAATGTTTGGGTTTCTTAAATGAATCTGCTATTTGTAAGTAGGAAGTGGGCTGTGTAGCAGGAGGCGGGGTCCAGGCAGGATGGTGGAGTAGAACCGTTGGCTCCTTACCCTCCTTTTCCGGCCCTTGCCTGTGTTCTTGGCCTCCCTGGGTGCCCCACCTCCACTTACGTGGCCCTTCTGTCCTGTTAAGCACTACTCAGCTTTTCTCGTGTGTGTGTGTTGGGGGGGGGGGTGTTTGGTGGTGGTGGTGATAGGGCTTGAACTTAGGGCCTGGGTGCTATCTCTGGTCCCTTTTGTTCAAAGTTCTACTACTTTGAGCCGCACCTCCACTCATTTTCTCATGATTTTCTTGCCATAGCTGGCTTTGAACCCTGATCCTTAGAATCAGCCTTCTAAGTAGTTTGGATTCCAGGCCACCAATGCCTACCTCAGCTTCTTGTGAGCCCAAAGAGTTTTAGCTAGAACCTTCTTTGCTTTTGGTTTTTGAAACAAATGTGTTCAGGGGCTGGGAAGGTAGAGCACTTTCCTTGCATGCATGAGGCCCTGGGTTCGATTCCTCAGCACCACATAAGCAAAAAGAAAAAAGCCGGAAGTGGCGCTGTGGCTCAAGTGGTAGAGTGCTAACCTTGAGCTGAAGAGCTGAGGGACTGCGCCCAGACCCAGAGTTCAGGCCCCACGACCGGACCCCCCCCAAAAAAAAAAAGAAAAAAACGTGTTCGGAGAGCAATGGTTGTGGACAGTGATGGGTGGATTTACGCTTGAGCCAGACCACATTCCTCCCCCTCCTTACCTGCTGCTATCCTCCTCTGGGGAACCGCTCCTTTTCAGTCAACCACCAAGTAAAAGGGAGGTCCTGTATGAACCTGCGTGGCCTTCTCCCATGGCTGGGAAGGACCTAGATCAGCCTAGCAAGCCTGGGTGCTGCTAATGGGGGAGGAAGGAAATTGTAATGGTAATCTTGGGTAAAAGTCCTCTTCCAAACATAAACTGAATGCCAAAGTGCAAGGCCAGCCTTGTCGTGCTGTAAAATACTGTGGCTCTTTCCTTTTCCATCAGGTGTTTTTTCATCGCTCAGTCCTATGTATTGGTGAAGAAGTGGAGTGAAGCCCTGGTCCTGTACGATAGAGTCCTGAAATACGCCAATGAAGTCAGTTCCGATGCTGGAGCCTTCAAGAACAGCCTAAAGGTGAGCCATTGGCCCCTCCTTGTTTCCAAGCCCAGAAACTGTGTAGTGAGGAGGTGCAGGGCCCTGGGGGTAGACCCAGCTGAGCTTCTTAGGCTGCTTTCCCTTTCACTCTTGATCTGTATACTGAGTAACTCATAGAGAATTCCAGGCTTGAAGAGCCATCTTAAAGCCAGACACTGGTGGCTTGTGCCTATAATCCTAGCTACACACACACACATACACACACACACACACACACAATCATGCATGTAATCCCACACACACACTCACACAATCATGCGTGTAATCCTCGCTACTTAGGAGGCTGAGATCTGATCTGAAGATTGAGATTCAAAGCCAGCTCAGGTAGGAAAGCCTATGAGACTTACCTCTAATTAACTACTAGAAAAACCGGAAGTGGAGCTATGGCTCAAAGTGGTAGAGTGCTAGCCTTGAGCAAAAGAGCTCAGGGATAACACACATGCCCTACGTTCAAGCCCCACAACCAACAACAACAAAAAAGAAAGCCATCTCAACCAGCATGATGGCACGTAGCTAGAGTCCGAGCACTAAGAAGGCTAAGGCTTGAGGATGAAGAGTTCAAGTCTTCAGTACTTAGCAGGACCCTGTTTCTAAAAAAAAAAAAAGAATGAGAGAAAAGGGAAGGAAGGAGGGAGTAAATAAATAATTCATTTCTTTGGTTGCAGGGAAACTAGATCATATGCATAATATGTGTGAGACCTTGGGTTTGATCCTCATCTCTGCAGAAACAAACAAAATCAGTGAGTCCTGGAATTAGAGATATTGCTAGGAAGGGGTGTGGGTAGAGAGCAGATGAGTGAGCACTAAATCAGCACACAGTAACAAATTAGTGTAGAGCAATGAGGCATTTCAGAACTGTCCGTCCGATGTCATGCGCTGCATGGCTTGGGGAGACAGTGTCAGAGAATGGAGGCAAGATGGGTCTGTGGCCAGACCTTGTCAGGTCATTCCATTCTGCCCCGTGAGACTTGAGGCTCATGTAGGACACTGCCTTGCAGAAGTGGTGGGCCATGGCGGCCAAGGGCTTGATTCCGAGTCCCACCTGTGCTCCTGGGGGCAAAGCCCTCATCCTGCCCATGCCTCAGAGTTCTCTGCCACATGGAGGTAGCAGTTGTGTAAGCTATGAGTGATAACTTATTCTTCTCATCACTATTTCAAGCATTGTTACTTAAGCCATGACATAGGTTTTCTCACTTGAAATAGGCCAGGGTTCTTTGTTTTGAAGAGACCCATTGAAAAGCCCACAGCTCTGAAAATCCCAGTGGGACGGCCTGGTCCAGGTTAGCCAGGGCGCTGCTCGGGCCGGCCCCACCCACTGAGCATGTGTTCCCGGGACTGTTGCAGGACCTGCCGGATGTGCAGGAGCTCATCACTCAAGTGCGCTCCGAGAAGTGCTCGCTGCAGGCCGCGGCCATCCTGGGTGAGACACCGCCTGCTCCCTCCACTGCCCATCTCTCCCTCGTTCCTTACCCTGTGCCACTACTAGCAGCGTGAAAGGCGGTGTGTGGGTTAGCCTGTACGATTCTTGTTATCTCAGCCTTTACGTCTGTAGAGATCTGTCCCTTTCCCCCTTGCCCTTTTCCTTCCACCGGCAGCTCCCCTGGGCTAGAGTTCGTTATCTGTTCATACCACTTCTCAGCAGTGTTGGGACTGGAAGGAGGCAGCTCGTGACCACATCTGGGCTGCCTTTGCTGAGGGTGTGGGCTGGGCGCTGTGGCTGCCACACACTGTCCCTGTTCTTACTGAAACTCTGTGCACTTGCAGATGCCAACGACACCCATCAAACAGAGACTTCCTCCCAGGTGAAGGACAATAAGGTACGTCTGGCTTTTGAGGAATACAATCATTTGTAGAGTAGACTGCCCCCAGCCCTTTGCCTGTTCCCTCCCTTCTGCCCGGAGCCTTACAGGGCGCTGTGCAGCCTAGTAGATGGCTGGATGGCCTGGGGAAGAAGGTGGAGACGGCTTGGTTACAGTCACACCTGAGGGTCGCCACTTAACCTGGACTCCTGGTGACTTCCAGGGGTCAATGAGTGACCTCTAAGTTAGGGACACGTTACACGCCCTGCACATGCACACACTGATCTGACTGCCTGGTGCACAGTGGAAGTTCACTGCAGGTCTTCTCTGATTTAACTTCCAGCCACTGGTCGAACGGTTTGAGACTTTCTGCCTGGACCCTTCCCTGGTCACCAAGCAAGCCAACCTCGTGCACTTCCCGCCAGGATTCCAGCCCATCCCTTGCAAGCCTTTGTTTTTCGACCTGGCCCTCAACCATGTGGCCTTCCCCCCGCTGGAGGACAAACTGGAGCAGAAGGCCAAGAGCGGCCTCACGGGGTACATCAAGGGCATCTTCGGCTTCCGGAGCTAACCCGGCTCTCCTGTCATTGTGAGAACCGCCCAGCCCGCCCGTGGCATTGAGCCCAGGTCTGCACCGGCCAGGGCAGAGCTCAGCACCCTCAGCCCTGCGCCCCTACATCTTGTGTGTGTGTGCACCTACATTCTTAACGCACGTGTGGGAAGGGCGCACTGCCATCTTCTAGGCCCTGTGTCAGGGCCGCCGGTCTCCTGTGCTCTCCGGGCTCCTGTGAGCCGGGATTGATTGCCTTTTCTCAGTAACGTGTTCAGGGGTTCCGCAGCAGGCTCGGGGTGGGCCGGGGAATGTTTTGTCATGTGTCCTCAGCACCATGGATTTGAAACTCAACCCTGCCGTGGGGCCCAGGGCCCCAGAAGTCTGTCCATGACCGAAACAGCGGCAGCGTTGCCAAGAATTACTTGCAGCCTTACCCCCTTCACCAGTTTAGAACAAGCAGAGAGCTCTATTTTTAGAAGAAATATGTTACACTCAGAAGTGATGGAACCAAATCTTATATTAAAAGGCAAAGATGGTGGAGACTGTGCCATGTATTGCTTGTCCTCACGCCCAGGTCTGCTCCGGGCCTGCTCGAGGCTGAGCGAGGCCGCCGTCCAGTGCACACGTGCTCCCGCCCGGGGTTTCATCCCACCCAGTGCAGCGGCTCCCGCACTGCCGCCCCTCGTCCTCAGTCTGTATGTTATGGCATCCATAATAGACGGCACAAAAGCAGTGTAAGAAAGAAGGAATAAATGTGATTTAAACCTGAGCTGTACCTGACACCTCCGACCCCTCACTTGTCTATGCAAAGAAAGTCCACCAGGGGCTGGGAAGGTGGCTCAGTGGTAGGATTTCCTAGTATGCATGAAGCCCTGGGTTCCATTCCTCTACACCACATACACAGAAAAAGCCGGAAGTGGTGCTGTGGCTCAAGTGGTAGAGCGCTAGCCTTGAGCAAAAGCAGCTCAGGGACAGTGCCCAGGACTGGCCCAAAAAAAAAAAAGATGGCTTAATGCTTTTGTTTTCAAGGCTGCCCTTTCTTCCCAGTGTCCCCAGGGCATCCCAGTAGCACGGGCTGATGTGAGCGTCACACTGGCTGTGACATGAGGTAGACCACCGCGTTTAGTAGTAAAGTCGCGTATGTAGATAAGGTACCTTCCAGAGCCGAGGCTGCCGCGTGGCTTGCACATCCCTTCACACAGGCTTTCAGACACCAGCACATGCATCAGCACCAAAAAATGGGGCCTAAGCCAGGGCCCGTGGCTCACGCCTGTCATCCTAGCTACTCAGGAGGCTGAGATCTGAAGATCACGGTTCAAAGCCAGCCAGGCAGGAAAGTCCATGAGACTTATCTCCAGTAAACCACCAGAAAACCGGAAATGGTGCTGTGGCTCAAGCGTTAGAGCGCTCACCTTGAGCCGACTAGCGCGGGGACAGCACCCAAGCCGAGTTCAAGCCCCACGACCCACCAAAAAAAAAGGGCCTGAGGTGCAGGCTCCGAGTCATGTCCTCCCTGTGCCTCCCAAAGGGCCTGCAGGGAATGTCGTGTCTCCGCGGGCGCAGACGGTGCCTCGCAGGAATGCTCGAGGGCTACTGTGGATCCAGGTTCTATTGGGGTAGCTCTGGGCTGGCTGAGAGCCACTGGCCTGATGTCCTCATGTGGTGTCTCATTAACCACTTCCTGCCCAGCTTGGTTCCCAGCTCCTTCCTCTGAGCCAAGAAGTGAGCCTGTGAGGGCAGCCCATCCTCCACAGCACTGGGAGGGCTTTCTTCCAGAAAGTGGAGGCCATAACTTGGCCCTCTTTAGGAGGAAACTGGAGCCAGGGGCTTGGGAGGCAAGGGCTGGGTCTGTTCACCATTCTCACAGTGCAATGCTAACGTTGCACACACTATCATTCATTACACCGAAGCTAGCTGATCACAGAACTCTATAAACAGCCCGCTGCTGTCTGTCTTCAGAAGCTTGGAACATTCAAGGTCTAAGAAAATATCCAAAGGTAACAAAACTATGTCTTGGTTCTTTTTTTTTTTTTTGGGGTCCGGTCATGGGGCCTGAACTCTGGGCCTGGGCGCTGTCCCTCAGCTCTTCAGCTCAAGGCTAGCGCTCTACCACTTGAGCCACAGTGCCACTTCCAGCTTTTTTCTTTTTGCTTACGTGGTGCTGAGGAATCGAACCCAGGGCCTCATGCATGCAAGGCAAGCGCTCTACCACTGAGCCACCTTCCCAGTTCCAGTTCTATTTTTTTTTTTAAGACACTTGTTGCTACAGAGAGAGATGGAAACCAGATTTAGCTCCAAATTTTATCAATGCCCCCAAAACAGAATAAATGGAAGCCATCTGCTTCTTGACAACACCAACCAGAAGTATCAGTAACCTATTGGTCTGTTAGGTGCTGTGGTCAGAGACAAGCCCCAGGGCAGGCTGTCTGAGGAGTGTGTGGGAAGCCCAGTCCCTGGCCTGTGTGCTGGCAAGCACAGAGGAAAGAAAGGCTCTGTGTCAACTAGAAACATCGACACAAATGAAAGAAAACACAATTCAACAAATGCTGATGGAATGCTTGTGGACACTATTCACGGGACATTCAAGCTGTGAAGACGGCCTCAGAGCTGGATGTGATTGTGCATACTTGTAATCCCTGCTACTAGAGGCGTGGAGAGGAGGGTAGTGGAGAGGAGGATGGCAGGTTGAAGAGCAAAGTTAGCGTGAGACCCTATTTGGAAAAGCAAGAGAACTGCGAGGTGGGCTGGGAAGGTGGCTCAGTGGTAGAGTACTTGTCTTGCATGCACGAGGCCCTGGGTTCAATTCCTCAGCACCACATACACAGAAAAAGTGGTGCTGTGGCTCAAGTGGTAGAGCTCTTGCCTTGAGCTGAAGAGCTGAGGGACAGCACCCAGGCCCAGAGTTTAGGCCCCACGACCAACCAAAAAAAAAAAAAATTATCAGGTATTGCTCAAATGGTAAAGCATTTGCAAAAGAGGCCCTGTATTCAACCTCCAGTATATAATAAGTTTTTTAAAAAATCAGAGTTTGTCAGTCTCCTGAGCAGCCGTGAGCTGGTACGCCGGGGCCGAGGCTTGAGAAGTTGACTTGAGAGTTCCTCTGCGGGTCCGTTCCCAGCAGAGGAATTCCTTCCCTTCCGCTAACCACAACTCTTGTCTCCAGGCTGGCTCCACGGCTACACAAATCCTCATCACTTGGGAAAGAGCTGCAGCCTTTCCCCAGGGATCTGAGATAGGAAGTGCTCTTGTTAGACAACAGGCAATGCTCCGGGCCTTGGGAGCTGAGCGCGTTAGTTGTGGCTCATCTGTACAATGGAGGACAGAATCCTGGCCACTGGCCTCTCTCATGGCTCCAGGAGAACTGCCCAGGGGGAAGCAGAAGCCCTGAGCCGGTGGACTGAGGCTTCACACCCCGGCCCCTGAGCCTCTTGGCTTGCGGCCCTGGTCTGGCCTGTGCAGACTGAGTAGATCCTATAGACCTTAGAAGAAGAAAATACACAGACATTCTCTCCCTGCAGCCTGACAGTGAGGATGAGGCCCCTGGAGCCATCTAGGCCCAGAGTAGGTGGCCAGCACTTGAAATGGGGCAGGGGAGGGGCGGGAGAGAAAGGAAGAGGGAGGTTGGTTCTTGGAACAAACCAGCCTTTACCCTTCCCTTCTGCCTCCTGAGCTAAGTCCTCCTAAGCCTAAGCACTAAGCAAAGCTGTTAGAACAACATGCAGGCGCTGATTACCTTGGCAGGCTCCCCTTTCCAGTTTCCTGGTGACAGGACAAGTCAGGCAGGCCCACCTCTCAGCTGAGAGGATACAGAGTTTGTTCAGTTAGGGCTGAATCGCTGCTGCTTCGGCTCAGCGGCGGAGCTCCTCCGTCCAGCGCCTGTGTGCCTATCACCTTGTTATCACACCGAAACTTCAAAATAGGGCCTCAGGTCCCCATCGCCAGCCATTTAGAACTGTCATCCCAGAGCCCAAAGACAGTTTGGGGGAGGCCCAGAGGCCCAGCAGTTCCTGCGCAAGAGCAGGCAGCTGCAGACCTGTGGGAACGGGCAGCTGCCTGGCTGCAAGGGGTGAGCTTCCCTGGCACAGGTGCCACCAGGAAGCTGGGACATGCCACTGTGGCCCAAAGCCAAGGCAGAGGCCCTGTGCACCCTGAAGCAGCCCTGCATTTGGGGTTCCTGGGATTCCCCGTTTTCTGGCCATTTAGTTCAGGAGTCCTGTTCTAGACGCAGGCAAAATTCAGTTGTGTTTGTGTGGCCTTTTTCCTATATTCTATCCAATTCTACTTCACTCTTTCATTTTTGCAGTGCTGGAATGGAATCCAGGGCCTCTCACAGGCTAGTAAAGTGGCCTACCACCAAGCCACATACCCAGTCCTGGTGTGTGTTCGTGTGTGTGTGTGTGTGTGTGTGTGTGTGTGTGTGTGTGTGTGCAGAGCTCTTTTGCTCAAGGCTAGTACTCTACCACTTTGGGCCACAGCTCCACTGGTTTTTCTGGTGGTTAATTGGAGCTAAGAGTCTCACAGGCTTTCCTGTCCAGGCTGGCTTTGAACCACAATCCTCAGATCTCAGCCTTCTGAGTAGCAAGAATTATAGGTGTGGGCTACCAGCACCTGGCTTTTTTTTTTTTTTTTGTAAGGGCGGGAGGCGGGCATTTGATACTGTTTTGTGCCTGTGCCGGGACTTGAACCCAAGCTCTTGCTTGACTTTTTGTTCAGGTTAGGAATCTCAGATTTAACTGCCCAGGCTGGCTTTGAATCTTGACTCTCACCTTCCGGAGCTAGCTAGGGTTATAGATAAGAGTGAGTGAACAGGTGCTTTGCTCTGCCTTTTTTCCCTCTAGTTAGGTGGGCCACGCCATCTTTTATTGACCTTTTAGCTTTTTTTTTAACTCGGGCTTCTAGGCAGACTCAAGGGCAAAAGTTCCTCCTCCAGACAGCCCATAATTCTTGGGCCTGCAGCCTCTGCCCCAGCCCTGCATCTGCCTTGGATGGAAGCAGGTTCCTCCCTCCAGCTCCCACTTCCTATCTATCTTCTCTGGGCCAGGCTGATGGAGCGTCAGGGGCGGGAGGGGATCATCCGGCTTTGGTCCAAGGGTCTGAGGACAGAGCTCTTGTACAAACAGGGCAATTTCCTGAGACCGCAAAGCCCATCCTCATCAGGGAGCAGCTCAGGCTCCCAGGGCACAGAGAATTGCCCCCATCTGTTTGAGTAGGGAGAATATTCACCCTGCAGGGATCCCTTGAGCCAGAGAAGAAAGTGGGTACCTTTATGCCCTGGCATACTTGCCAAGTGCCAACCTTTGACCTTACCATACTTGTACCTGTGTGTGGCAGCCTCGGCGCTAGGAGCAGTCCTTTTGCTCAGATTGCAGATCTCACAGGCTATGATCAGTCTACACTGGTCCAGGACTCCAGGCTAGGGACAGGAGAAAGCTGACATTGCCGGTCACAGCAGGCCCAGGGCTGGAGACCCTGGAGCCAGTTCCATCTCAAATCCAGAGAGCAGGGAGCCAGCGCAGGTAAGGCCACAAATGTGAGCTTCTACTGTTTCTCAGTTTTCTAGGAGTCACATTCTTTTAATTTTTTTTTTAGTGTAATTAAAGAATATATCTTCTTAGCTGAGCACCTGTGGCTCACGCCTGTAATCCTAGCTACTCAGGAGACTGAGATCTGAGGATCACGGTTCAAAGCCAGCCCAGGCAGGAACATCCTTGAGACCCTTATCTCCAATAAACCACTAGAAAACCGGAAGTGGCGCTGTGGCTCAAGCGG